AAGAACACAAGTTCTCTCTCTTTCAGCTCTCAGATCCCATAGATAGATCCTGCCATTTTATGCATCCCTCTCCATGGCTTGTGCCAGAATAGAGTGAAAAGAGGACAGTAAGTTCAGTTGTAGGGATTCCCCAGTATCCAGCCTCTCATTACATTTCTTCCAACTTTTTCTTCCTTCTAGTCCAGGAAATCCATTTCTCATCTCTGGGAAAGGAAATTTTACTATTGTCTATGTCAGCACTGTCTGATAGGAATAGAATGCGAGCCACATATATAATTTAAGTTTTTCCAGTAGCCACATTAAGAAAAGTAAAGGGACAGGTGAAATTTATTTTATGCCTTTCATTTAACCCAGTATATCCAGAATGTTATTTCAACAGCTAGATAATATAAAAATTATTAATGAGATATAGCCCATTCTTTTGTACATACTAAGTTTCTGAAATTGGTGTATATTTTATACTTACAGCACATCTCAATTTGAAATAGCCACATTTAAAGTATTCAGCATGGCTAGAAGTTATTATATTGGACAGCGCAGGTCTCTAACTTGATCCATTTCATTACTCACTAAAAGGATAGGGTTTTAAAACTCAAAGACCAAGGAAAAATTCTGTTTCTCTGCATTCTGTTGTACTCCTTTCCTGAAATAATGAGCAAAGACAAGCCTAAGTGAGAGTGGGCGTGAGGCCGAGGGCGTCCTAGGGTGGGCTATAAAGGTTTGGGAATGGCCGAAGGATCAAAAGAAATAGTTGGAAAAACAACTACTACGAAAACCATTGGTTAACATTTCAAAGTATTAGCCTGCCACAGGGAGGTTTTTTTCCCATTATTATTATTGATTTCAGAGAAGGAGGGAGAGGGAGAGAGAGAGAGAGAGATAGAAACATCAATGGTGAGAATCATTGATTGACTGTCTCCTGCACCCCCCTCCACTGGGGATCGAGCCTGCAACACGGGCATGTCCCTTGACCAGAATCAAACCCGGTACCCTTCAGTCCACAGGCCAACGCTCTATCTACTGAGCCAAACCAGCCAGGGCCACAGTGAGTTTTTCAAGTACATAAAAATTGCTGTAGGATTGTTAGAAGTAAATTGTTTGCTATAGATTTAAAAGAAATAAGTTCATCAGTAATATTGTTGTGTAGTGTACGTGCTATGGTAATGGAAAACAATGCAAAACCTTCCATTGTTGTTATTGGGAGTAAATCTTATTACTATGACTAAGGCACAGATAAATTCTTTTGGTAATTAAATCCTGCTATCATACCTCTGACAATTTTTAGTGCAAAAACTGTAAAACCCAAAGATAAGAATTTTATCACCAGGAATGATAATTCAAACCTATAGTTGCATTTTATAGACTAGAATATCCATTTTGGGGGTTTCTGAAACAGAAAAGTTGCATCTTTGAAAATAATTTCTATCATTTCAAAACTGTCATGGCAGAGAAGATTTAAAGTTTTTGGATGGCATTTTTCACTTATTTCTTCTTATTCTATCTTCACTGTAAGCTTGATGATATTTAAAGGCAAAATCAAAATTATTTCAAATGTTGATGCCTCTGTTAAGTAAAACATCTATAAAATGTTGTGACCAACACTTGGGACAAGTGGGCAGGACAATTAAACTAACTTCCACCCACAGGTGTCTTTTATGCAGATTAGGCCTAGGACAGAAGGAGATGATAAATCAAGACCTGAGTAAACAGAGGATTAAAAAGAGGCAGAACCACGGTAGGCAATTCCACCTTGGAAGAGGGATGTCTCTGCTCGTAGGCTGGGGAAATGGGGGCCTCGAGAAAGGGTAACTTGTAGCATGCCAACAGATCTCTGCTAACACATGACACAAAAGGTAGTCATGAGGATTGAGGGTAAGTGAATTCTTAGTAGTTATAAAATCCTGAGTCCACAGAAACTATTGGTGTTATACTGTTGGTAATCACTGGTTTAATAGGAAAGGAACAATGTGAAACGCACTGTTTCTTTTGAGATCCTTTAGTCTTTGAGGTAGTGATGTTTGGTAGCAACTAAGTATTGTTTGGAGTTCTGTTTGTTTCTTTTCTTGATGTTTGAGTTTGCTACCAAGCACAATAGTGTACATTATCAATTACCATTTATTGACTGTTTACTATGCGCCAGGTACTTTACATACATATCTTCTCAACATCCCAGAAAGATAGGCATGTTTATTCCTTTGACAGAATAGGAAGATGGAACTCAGAGATGTTAAGTAATTCATATTGCTTTCTAGCATGCATGCTGAACATCTGTTTATGAAAACTCTTTGAGAACAGGGACTGTATCTTTTATGTAGTATTTAATATGACCAATAATCAGTTGCTATTCAATAATTATCAGCTTCCTGGGCAAAATACACTAAAATATTCTATATTGAAGGTTCTTCAATAAATTTAGTTAGCAGACAGGTTATTTTATTTTATTTTTTTTAAGTTATGAGGGGAGAAGTAGCTGCTCCGTGGAGCTTCCAGGAGCCAGCCTATGAACTTGGGCTCAGCAGCTGAACTATGTCAAGGTCTGCTTCAATTCCTTGGTCTCTTCTTAGCTACCTCTGCAACAAGACTGAAAAATAAGTTTACTAGTATATCCAAGAAAAATACTTCCCCTACAAAGACGAGCTATCTTTCAAGAAACTCTTTGTTGGTCTCTTAAGTTTCCTACAACTTGAGAAAGATTTCCTGGGGGGTGCGGGGGAGGGGTTCCAGCGTAGTTCTTTTATTTTCTTATTTGTTTAAAGAAAGATACTTATTTAAAACTGGTTGCTTTTAAGATAATTTCTTAACAATAAAGTCTCCCTTTTTTTTTCCCCCTTGGGGCAGGGACATAGTATTAAAAGAAACCAGGATGACCACATGAGACAATTTGAGAACTTCTGAAGAACAATAATAAATAGGATGCAAAACCCTCCTGATCATCACGTGGGTTGTTTCTGAAGGGCAACTTAGATTAAAATAGTTTGACTATTTTTCTAAATTAGCCATTTCTCTCTCTCTCTCTCTCTCTCTCTCTCTCCCTATCCCTTCTCTCTCTAAAAAAAAAATCAATAAAATCTTTAAAAAATAAATTAGCCATTAAAAAAAACCCATACACTTAAAGTCTGTTAATGATGCAGAATATATCACTGTATTAGATCATAATGGCTGTAGGTTGGAGTGACTTAATAAACCACTCAGGTTTACTAAGATGTACACAAAAAACAAGAATCAATATAATTACTACAGTTGTCTTAATATTTTAAAATTATGACAATAGCAAAATAAGTGATAATCTATGTCCTTTTCTGTAAAATGCACATTGGTTCACTTTCTGTACTGCAGTGGAAATAGAATTAGATACTAGATTCAAGCCTTCTGTCTCCCCATCTCTGTTGATTCTTCAACATATGTCTTTCTCCTTTCTGTTTCCCTGCTATCTCTATAGATGTGCTCAATTCTCACCGATCATGCTCTTCTGTTGAGCCTCTCAAAGAACCAATCATTCTCTATACCTTAACACCTTTCAAGCTACTTTGTCCATGCATCCTACGTTCCCATCCTTAGTGAGATTAATAACCCTTACTGTTTCCAGGACCCATCCTGCTTATTTTCTTTTTATATATTAGCTTCCCTCTTTTTTGAAACTACAGGGTGTCCCAAAAAATGTATACACACTTTAACAACTGATAGCTCGATTTTGAAAATGAAATGTATTTTAATAAACACTGCCTTTATAATTATTCAAAGTGTGTGTATACGCTTTTTGGGGGGACACCCTGTTTGCCTGTTGCTTGTAGGGTGCTCTTACTTCTCTGACCATCCCTCCTCGGTCTCTTTCTCACTTTACTCTGCTTATTCCTTAAATGTTGGGAACCCCCCTCCCCCCAATCCCATTCTTTGTCCTCTTTCTCTACACCAGACGTCTGTGGAGCAACTAAAATTGAAAGCAAATTTGTGACTGGACATTTTTTTCCTCCTTGGGGAAGCCTCTATGAGCTTTCATCGTATTCCCAAAAGGGTCCTTGGCTCTTTTAAGGTTAAGTTACCCCTGCCCTCACACTCTTCTTAGGTTATTTTATCCTCGCCTTTGCCTATTAACCACCTTTTTTTATATGCCAGCCACTCCCAAATCCATGTACAGTTCCTACCAGGGGGAAAAAGACCCACAGCGATGGGGAGAAACCAAGATCCAAGGAAATGTTGAAGAATCAGAACAAGAAGAAATTGCACTGTAAACATTTTGTGTCTAGCTTGTGTCATTGAGTCCCGTGGGGGACCAGTTGATTGAATGTTAGGCGGGGACTGGCAGGGTCAGAACTTCAATCTGTCTGGAGAAATCGGGTGAAAACAAGGCTGTGTGCACCAACACCCCTAGTTGCTTAGTGGCGAAGGAGAAGGCGCACCCAGCTCCTGGGGTGGGGATAGGAGCCGAAGAGAGAAAACCACAGCAGCCGGTGGCACTGCCCACGGCTGCAGCGAAGGCAGCCCCGCGCTCTCCCACCACCGACTCAGCCAGGAACCCCTCCCGGCACCCGGCTCGCGGTTGACAGGCATTCACCTTCAGCAACCACGTTCCAGTTCACCATAAACACTCCTTACTCCTCCTGCCTATCGCTTCCCGCTCCAAGCCAATCGGAGGAATGGGCGGGATCGTCCTTAGTAAGTTCCAATTTTTTTTTCTTTTTTTTTTTTTTTTAAATAAGAAGGGTAGATTGGTGTGCGGCGTTCCGGCGGGGGGGAAAACACCTCCAGAGCTTGGGAGTGGAGCCCCTGTGATGGGCACCCGGATCGGCCAATGAGGAGGCCCCGCCGCTCAAAGGCTCGCCGCTGAGGTGGGCGGGGCCTGCGCGGGGCTGGCCAACGGCGGCGGAGCGGACGGCGGTTGAGCCGCTGTGGGTAGGGTTAGTGTGAGAGGTGCGGCGGGGGAGGTAATGATGGTGGCGGCGGCGGAGGAAGGCGGGGGAGGGGGTGCTGGGCGCTGAGCGGCGGCTCCGGCAGGGTTTTGTCGGGTGGGGGACGGCCGCGGGGCGACTCCGTCCGGGAGGGGGCGGGCGTGAGGCGCGCCGTCCGCCCGAGGGGCCGCAGACCCGGGCTCCCTCGAGCGCCACGGCTGGCTCGGCTGTTCCATGTGGCTCCGGCGGGGATGGAGGACTCGGTGGCGGTGGCGGCGGCTGCTGCTGTGGCGGCGACGGAGGAGCGGCGCTGAGGCGGGTACGGGGCTAGACTCAGCCCGACAGCGGGATGAGAGGTGTGAGGAGGGGCCGGGAGGGGACGTGCGGCGGGGGCCGGGGCGAGGGGACAGGGCTGGGGTCTGGTGGCATCGCCGGGGTGACAGGGGCCGCGGGCGAGCCGCCGCCGGCCTCCGCCGGGGGTGGGGGGGGGCCGGGGTCTGGGCTCCGTGCGTGAGCGGAGGAGGCTCCGGCGGACAGTCCCTGAGGATGGGGGAGGGAGGCGCCGCGCCCTGGACCCCGCTCGGTGCCCTCGCCCCGCTGGGCATCGCTTCTCGCCCCGGCGGGAGTTGCCGTTTCTCTGCGGTTGGCAGCGGAGGTGAAGGAGAGCCCGAGGGGCCTGGAGCCAGGACGGTGCCCTCCCTCCGCCTGGAGATTTCCCTCCGCTCCTCCTTCCCCATCCGTGTCCCCCTCCGACTCGACAGCAGCATTCCTCCCCGCCCCGTAATGTATTCCAAGCGCACTTGCTAGGACTCGAGGCTGTTAATGACCGGGTGAAAAGCAAAGTTTATTTTAAAATATTCCACTCCCCCCTTTGACTGGCCATGGACACTGAACGGCATCCCTACACTTTTCCCGCTCTGCTCGCCCTTCTGTGATGCCGGAGGGCGGGGGGGGGGGGGGGCGGCGGGAGGGCCCTGACGTGCGGCTCTGGATTGTTGTGCGTGCCGACTACCAGCTGGACCGCTCCACGTCTTCGGTGTGAATTGTCATTTTCCCCCTCGGTGTCTTGTATCCTTGATGTTACTTACTGGCCTTTGAGGTTGGTGTTTTGTTTCATTGTTTGGAAAACGCGTGGAGAACTGGGGATGTCTGTTGCAGTGTTATCCAGCGAGGGTGGTTAGTCACTTGTCATGTGTCTCTCCTCATATATATATATTTTTTCCCCTCTTTATTTTGCTTTTTCAGTTCTCGGAATACACGTCATATAGCCCCTGAGATGGGATGGTGATGTCTCCATGAGGGAAGCTCCACTCACTCATCCTGTCATGTACACCACACTGTTCTTGGCCGGGCCATTCATCTAAGATGGGATATACCCTATGAAACAGGGAGAAGACTTATGGACCCCAAACATCATTTCAAGTTGTAGATGAGTTTTTAAAAGTACAGACATACATGCAAAACTTCTTTGCTTTGGACCCTCTGCGTTGTTTAAAGCTGCTGTGTTGCTAACCCAGAACTGCTCCAGTGTGTTGACGGATCATCATGGCTTCAGTTTGGAAGAGACTGCAGCGCGTAGGAAAACATGCCTCTAAGTTCCAGTTTGTGGCCTCCTACCAGGAGCTGATGGTTGAGTGCACCAAGAAATGGTAAGACATGCCTGGGGGTAGAGTTTGCTCTGCTGTGGCCTAAACTCACTGTGGCCTAAACTCTGCTTCTTCTGACAGCAGATTTACCTTTCTGTAGTGTACAAGTGTGTAGAAGCAGGGCAGGGGACAGATTACTGTACAGTGGTTCTCAACCTTCCTAATGGCGTGACCCTTTAATACATACAGTTCCTCATGTTGTGGTGATCCCCAACCATAAAATTATTTTCGTTGCTACTTCATAACTGTAATTTTGCTACTGTTATGAATTGTAATGTAAATGTCTGATATGCAGGATGTATTTAGGCGACCCCTGTGAAAGGGTCGTTCGATCCCCAGAGGGGTCGCCACCCACACAGGTTGAGAACTGCTGCGAGTTTAACAAGTTTGTAATGTGTGCGTTGTTGCTGCTGGTATTGTCCCTTTGGGTTTTAATTATTGCACTTCAGCATGGCTCAGAGGACTGTAACTGTGAGAGCACACTAAATACAGTAGATTTGGTCTTGAAGTCTTTCATCGTTAGTGTTAGAATAACTTTGATTTTTATAATTTAAGGGAACAGAATAGCTATTAGAATATTATAAACATAAGCATATGTTTTAAGCTAAAAATTCTATATTCTTGTGGTATGGTGGTAATGTTCTTTTTTCTTGATTTTTCATTTTTCTTTGCTTAAGATAAAGAATTTTTCATTATTTGAATAATGGAATGCCAGTCTACATAACTTTAGAAATTCTTTTGCTATATGCTTAGTCAGGCAACTGTGTTTTATTTTATTTGCCTAATGGGATACAGTTCTTGGCCAGACTTAAGGAAGCAATTAGTAATGCTGGTCTATGATTTGCTTCTTTCCACTTGAGCAAAGTAAATTTAGGGCTTTCTTTTCACTGCCCTGAATAATCAGTAAGAAGAATTCTTATTTAGTGAGAGGAAAAAGTTAATGTTAAGCAAAGGGTCCTTTGGGTTTTGATTTATTGCAGTAATTAAGCAGTATTACTGCAAAAATAAATCCATTTTACTGTCCACAAGAACTATAATCTCATGTCTGTATTAATCTCTCTATTTGACATTCTTTTTCTTAGTTGGAAAAATGGCTTGCTCTATTCTAGAACTCGTACAGCATATTTGAATTTTTATTTGGAAACTAGTTTCTGAGTGATTTTCTCTTGAACTTGTTAGGAATGTTATTTTATATGCAACTCAAGAAATGCATGTACTGATTACCCACTTTATACTAGGGAGTGTGGCTTTAGAGTTGAATATGACAATCCCTATAAGGAGCTCATAGTTCAGGGTAAAGATGGTCATGTAAATAAATTCACTGTGATCAGTGCAATAATATAAATATGTATGCTGTCAGGATTTTAATCTGTGTCCATCACTTAACGGCTGGGCATCCTTGGGGACAGCTTATTTAATTGTCTGTGGTTTAGTTTACATATCCACAAAGGTAATAATGGCACCACTTCATAGGAAGGGTTATTGTGAAGATTAAACGAGTTAATACATGAAAATGCTTCTAACAGAGTCAGGCACATAGTAAATGCCCAACAAATGCCATTATTACTTACAAAGTTGGCAGAGAAGGAAATATTTAACTCTTAAGGATAGAGAGGGGGTAGGGTCTTGGGATGCCTCCCTGGAATCTAAGATGGGTTTTGAAAGATTCATAGTAGTTGGCCAGGAAGCCAAGGGGGGAAGAAATGAAAGATATTCTAGACTGAAGCAGCAGTTTATGCAAAAGCATGGGGCATTAAATAGCTTGGGTGTGCTGGAAATGCAAGCAGTGGATTTTGATAATGAAGCTTAAAGTGCAGGATGGGGGTGGTGCAATGGGATATGATGATTGAGAGGCAGGAAGGATTCAAATCCTCAAAAAACCTACCGTCTCTTCCACTCAAAGCCTTTCACTACATAGGGACATAGTGAACGGTTTTGAGTGGAAGAGACAGTAGGTTGGCATTTTGGAAAATCATTTGATGAGAGCATGGAGTAAGGATCATAGTAAATGGAGGCAGTAATGTTAGGGGTAGCTGTTGCAATTGATAAGATGAGGGAAAAGGGTTAGACTAAGGCAGTGGCAGAGGGAATGGAGAGAATAGACTAGATGAACACTTAGGACACATAAGTGGTCAAATCAGTCAGAGGTCTGGAAAGAATTGGGATGAGGGAGAGGGAAAAGTCTAAGTTGACACCCAAGTTCCTGGCTTGGAAGACTGGGTGTACTACTAACCAAGCTAAGGAATACATGAAGAAGATCCTCATTACAAGTATTTCTTATTGATAGGATCTTTATTATAGGATCTGGCCTTAACACTAAAAACGTTTGGATGTTCTAGAATATTCAGGCATTAGTTCTAAATATTTTGCTTCTCTACCCCCTCATTTAACAATATAGTTTAAAACTAACAAGGTGACAGGCTCAAAGAAAAACATTTGTTTGATGTACTGGAATTTTATAAGTGGATCCCTAAATAGAGCTTTAAAATCTTTTCAATATGTAACAATTTTTTGTAATGACTTTTAGTTAGTATTCCTTTTGCCTTACTTTCATAGGGTTCTGTGATAGATACAAATTGGGACCAATTTCTACACTTTTAGCCTATAATTTTTTCTTCCTTTATTTTTACCATTCCTCATTTTGATCTTTGCAATAAATCTTAAATTATTGGATGTGTGTGTTATTGAGTTAGAAACTATTTAAAGGAAATAAGAAAAAAATAGACTTGGGTGAATAGTAAGACAATTTTTTATTAGCAACTTTTACATTTAGGTATTATTTTGGGGGTATGGAAGAATAAAAGGTAAAGAAAGAAATTTAGAGATGCCAATTGAATAAAAGGAGATCAGTAATGGCATTGAAGATAAATTGCAAGTATTGAGAGGATAGGAAAATACATCTGGTATAAATTAGAGAAGAAGGAATCTATAATAATAAAAGCGTAATATGCTAATTAGGCTGGACAGCCGAACAACCTTCCGCATGTCCTTCCGGACAACTTTACGGATGAAGCCGGGGCTGTGAGGGCTGAGGCAAGTCACTGCGGCTGTGAGGGCCGAGCCCCTTGCACGAATTTCACGCATCAGGCCTCTAGTCTACACTAATAAAAGACAAAGATGCTAATTGACCGTACCTTTGCTATGCCCCAAACCACACCCACCAGCCAATCAGAGCAACTATATGCAAATTAACCCAACCAAGATGGCGGCCGGCAGCCATGGAGCTGGAGCAAGCAGGAGTCTTGGTTGCCCCAGTGATGGAGGAAGCCAAGCTTCCCACCAGCTCTGCTCAAGACAACAAAGTTTCAATTATAGAAGATAAATAAATCCCAGATACTTGCTTCCAGCCAGCCTCCACTGGGAGCTTGGGTGGCTGGGGGCTGTGGCCAGCATGCAAACAGCCATCAGCCCCTCGCACAGGCTGGCCACACCCTCATGGGGTGAGGGTCCCTGCTGGGGGGCTTGGCCAACCTGCAAACAGCCATCAGACCCTCACCCAGACTGGCCAGGCACCCCAGCAGGAATCCCCACACTGAAGGGGGTTTGGCCAGCCTGAACGCGGCCCTCAGCCCCTCACCCAGGCTGGCCAGGCACCCCAGCAGGACCCCCCCTCCCTGATGGGGGTGTGGCCAGCCTGAAAACGGCCCTCACCCCCTCACCCAGGCTTGCCAGGCACCCCAGGGGGGACCCCCACCCTGATCTGGGACACCATTCAGGGCAAACCAGCTGGCCCCCACTCATGCACCAGGCCTCTATCCTATATAATAAAAGGGTAATATGCAAATTGACCCTAACAGCAGAACGACTGGGAATGATTGGTGACTATGACACACACTGACCACCAGGGGGCAGACGCTCAATGCAGGAGCTGCCCCCCTGGTGGTCAGTGCACTCCCACAGGGGGAGCTCTGCTCAGCCACAAGCCAGGCTGATGGCTGCCAGCACAGTGGTGGTGGTGGGAGCCTCTCCCGCCTCCTCAGCAGCACTAAGGATGTCCGACTGCACTTAGGCCTGCTCCCCGCTGGCAAGTGGACATTCCTCTGAGGGCTCCCAGGCTGCCAGAGGGATGTCTGACTGCCAGCTTAGGCCCAGTCCCCTGGGGAGTGGGCCTAAGCCAGCAGGTGGTCATCCCCCGAGGGGTCCTAGACTGCGAGAGGGCACAGGCCAGGCTGAGGGACCCCCCTGAGTGCACAAATTTTTGTGCACCGGGCCTCTAGTAAACTATAAAAAGAAAGATCAGTTATCATTTTATTAGGGTTGTACCTTTGGAGGTAACCTGTGTATGTAGGTACCATTGTCTTTTATTTATTTACTAGACTAGATGCCAGGTAAATGAAATTCATGCACGGGGGCCGGGGGGTGGAGGGGGAGGGTCCCTCTCACAATCTGGGACCCCTTGGGGGATGTCCAGTTGCCAGTTTACAGGCCTAAACTGGCAGTTGGACATCCTTCTCGCAATCCGGGATGCTGCATGTATGAGTGACCATACTTTTCATACAGGTGAAAGGCATCTTGCTGTTGTATGGGCAGCAACATTTTTTGCCCTGATTATAAAAAGTGGTACATAACATGATCCTTCTGAGGCATTAGTACCATTTTCCCCATCTTATGGGTGAAAAAACTGAAGCAGAGAGAAGTGAAGTAATTGGCTTTGTCACAGTTATAAGTGTCAGAATCAGGGCTGACCACAAAATGTGCAAGGCAGAGTCCATGCATGTCATTGCTGCATCATCCTGCTTTTTCAGTGTTAGAGTAGCCTTGCCAGGTTTTAACTTTTAAATCTAAGAGACTGTTCCCAATATATAGGGTAGGGTCCCTAGGCCTGGTTGGTGATCAGGGCCATCTGTGGGGCGACTGGCGGGTGGGGTGATCGGGGGGGACGGGAGAGGGACCCACTGGCATCCGCTTTGGCTGGCGGCCTGGCGCTGCCCGCTGGCCGGCCCCACCCCCCCAGTGGTCAGTGTGCGTCATAGTGACCGGTTGTTCTGCTGTTCGGTCGATTT